TGAAATGGCTCTCAGACAAGAAAAGCCTCAGTTCTAAAATTCTCATTTCATTGTTAAATCTGTAATCTTCTCCAGCCTTACAGTCCTCTAAGATATCTGCCCTTCTTTAATTCTGGTCTCTCTGATATTAATCTTGCCCTTTGGAAGCCATGTCTTCAGCTGCCAAGAGACTAAATTCTGGAATTCCCTCCCGAAATCCCTCGTTCTGTTTCCTTTTTTAATTCACTCCTTGACACTTATCTCTTTGAACCAGCTTTTGGCATCTGTCCTAATACCAGCTTGTGAGGCTGATTTGTCAAATGTTATTCCATAATATTTGAAGCCCCTTAGAATGTTCTGCTAAGCACTAAAGGTACTATAGAAATGCAATTATTGGTTGTCGAGTTTTGTCTTTCTTTTTATGAAAACTATACATGCAGATTCGATGATGTGTTCACACAGATACAAGGCAGCAACGGTGGCAAAATCAAAGCAAGCTAATCCTTGTGTCACTGCTGTGTCAGTAGCTAGGATCTATACTGAGGGTCACTGAGGAATTTTATAATCATGGACAGCAGTAGATCTGATGAATTGCTCCACAAGTGAAGCTGCTCCACAACTCTCGGTAATGAATTAGCATGTCAGTTTTCTAAGTGCGAGTATTCATCAGGTCTCACTATAAGTCAGGACAATATTGCACTTCGAACATTTGTAGGAAGCATGCTTTCAGCTCCATTAAATTTAACTCCAGCAATTGAATTTTGTCCGCGTTTGAGGAGACAAACCTTTACCTCTGGGAGCTTAGGTAGAAGACTAATCCCAGCTGAGGGGATTTAAGAATTTGTATGAGGTGGAGAGGCCTAGGAAGGGAATTATAGAGCTGAGGAGCGAGGCAGCTGGAAACTGAGTGTTTAAAAACAGTGATACACAAGAGAGCAGAATGGGAGAAGTGTATATAATTGGAGATCATAAAAAAATCAAGGGGAGGCGATGGGCTAATGGTATTATCGCTGGATTGTTAATCCAGAGACCCAGATAACCCAGTTTCAAATCCTGTCCACAGCAGATGGTGGAATTTGAATTCAATAAATATCTGGAATTAAGAATCTAATGATGACCATGAATCCATTGTCGATTGTTGGAAAAACCCACCTGGTTCACTAATGTCCTTTAGGGAAGGAAACTGCCACCCTTACCTGGTCTGGCCTACATGTGACTCCAGACCCACAGCAATGTGGTTGACACTGGACAATTAGGGATGGGCAATAAAAGCTGCCTAGCCAGTGATGTCCTTATCCCGTTAATGAACAAAGGGGAAAAAAGTAGTTACAGGTGTAACTGTTCAGTCCACTGAGCCTGATTCAATCTATGTAGTGTATATCCCTCCATAAGTAAGGGGACAATAGCTGAAAACAGTGTTCCAGGTGTGGTCTCATCAACATCCTGTACAGTTGTAGCAATAAATCTTTACTTTTATATTCCATCCACTTCATAATAAAGTCAACATTCCATTTATCTTCCTAATCTGTACCCACAGGTTGTATCTGTATGCTAGCCATTTGTTTCATATACAAGGGCACCAGATCCCTCTGTACCTTAGCATTCTGCAGTCACTCTCTAATTAATTAGTATTCCATTTTGCTATTTTCTACCAAAGTGGACAACTTCATTACATCTCGCATTATACCACATCTGCCAGATTTTTTGCCTACACTCTTAATTATCTATAGTCTTTGCAGAATTTGTTTCTTCTCTTCACAACTTGATTTCCTACCTATCTTTGTATCATTGACAAATTTGGCTACAATACTGTTGGTCCATATCACTCATACAAGTCAACAATATAGATAGTAAATAGTTGAAGCCCAAGTATGATCCTTGCAATATCCCATTAATTATAGTTGCCAACCTGAAAATGATTTGCTTATCCTAACCATCTACTTCCTGTTAGTAACTCAATCCTCTATCCATTCTAACATACCACTCCCAACATCATAAGCTCTCTACCATTTTATCTTTTCATTTTATTTTCAGATCCACTTTAGCCAACTCTGTCTTCATGCCCCTATTTAAGTTGAACACACTAGTCCCAGACCTACATTTCTCACCCTCAAAGTGAATGTCGTATTCAATCATATTATGATCACTCTTACCTAAAGGATCCTTTGAAACATAGAAAATAGGAGCAAGTGTCAGCCATTCAACCTTTCCGGCCTACTCCACCATTCAATGTGATCATAATTGATCATTCAACTCAGTATCCTGTTCCACTTTCTCCCTATGCCTTCTGATCCCTTTAGTCCTAAGGATAATATCTAACTCCTTCTTGAAAACATTCAATATTTTGGCTTCAGCTACTTTTGGTGGTAGAGAATTCCACAGGCTCACCATGGTCAGGGTCATTAACTAATCCAGTCTCATTACATATTGCCAACTCTAAAATCGCCTGCTTGCAACCAGAATGTGTTGCTCTAGGAAGCTGTCCCTTATATACTCTATGAACTCATCCTCCAAGCTGCTCTTACCAATTTGGTTCATCTAATCTACACGAAGAATAAAATCTCCCAGGCTATGAAAGTGTGTTTTTATACATCTAATTTCTTCATAATATATACTTTGTTCAACTGTGTAGCTCTTGTGAAAAAGGCTATAAACTGAACCCACTAATGATTCCCTTTCTTTGCTATTTCATACCTCTACCTGAACTGATCTGACTTTTTGATAAAGAGTAATGAAGAAATTTATAGAGAAAGAAAGGAGTGAGGCTCTAGGAGAAGGGAGGTTAACACTTTTACAGTATATTGCAGTCTTGGCATCCCAAATTGGGCCAGGAATGAAAGTCAATACCATCCTGATTTAATCCTTTCACTTCAACCAGTTTAGACTTTGGTCTTCAGAACAATTCATTCGATTTTCAAAAACTTGGCTTCCATCAGTTCAATCAAATGTTTACGCTATCTGTCAGTTAAATTCTTACTTCAGCTATAAAAATTGAATTGAAGCCTAATAAGCAATAGCCCTTCTATTTATACATGCAGACCTATAGGTTTTGAAGCACTTCTCACAATTAATTGTATTAAATGGGTTATCTAAAATATATCGGCGCTATTCCCATTCAAAGCAACAAGACCAAGGAGTACTCACTGTAAGGTATATTCCACCGTGCTAAATAAGGCATGATTCAAGCAGATCTAACAACTCAAAACCGGGCATTCATGAGATGTCGTGGACGATCAGCAGTGACAGAATTGTACTCCAACAAAATTTATAATCTCATGGCTCAGCATGAGACCACCATCAAATCGGGCATGCCAAGAGTGTTATCTAAAAATAAGGTGTCACCCAGTGAACGTATAAATCAGGCTGCTTGTATGCCAAGCCGTGAAGGCAGTGTGCAATATACAAGACTAAGCTATCCTACAACCAACATGTCAGATCCAAGCTCTGCAGTGCTGCCTCATCCATTCATGGACAGAGGTGGACAATGAAATAAGGAGGTGAAGGAGGAGGCTTTACCCAACAGGCTTTACCCAACAATGTGGAAAATTGTCCAATTATGTCATGTCCAGACAAACCAGGACAAATTTAACTAGGACAAATATTGCCCAATTGCTCTGCCGTTGATCATCAGCAAAAGGATATCAATAGTGTTATCAAGCACAACCTGGAAAGGAATGTCCAGCTTACTGACACTCAGTTTGGGTTTCACTGGAGCAACTCAGCACATCTCACATCCCTACCCAGTCTTGCATTGAATTTCTATTCATATAACCAACAAATTCCTTTGAAGAAGTCATAATTCAATCTGTCTCCACCACACTCTGACATGCAGTATGTTCCAGCCCCTAGCCATTCACATGTATTAAAACTTTTGGCTTTTTTCAAGCATTTCATGTATAAGGGTGTCACTGGCTCGGTTGTTATCCATCATTAAGTGCACTGGAGAAGGTGGTAGTGAGATGCCTTCTTGAACCACTGCAGCCCTTGCAGTCCAAGGGGTACCTACAGTGTCGCTAGGAAGACGATTCCAAGATTTTGACCCAGTGATAGTAGTGGAATGGTGATATTGTTCCAAATTAAAATGGTATGTGACTTGGAGGAGAACTTGCAGGTGGTGGTGCCTCTATGCATTTTCTGCCCTTGTTGGTCGCAGATTTGGAAGGTACTATCAAAGGAATCTTGCTAAGTGGGTGCAGTGCATCTTGTACTGCTGCCACTGTGCACCGGTGGTGAAAGGAAGTGAATATTGCGGGTGTTGGATAATGTCCAAGCTACTTTGTCCTGATGGTGTAAAGATTCTTGAGCCTTGTTGAAGTTGAACAAATCCTGGCTTGTGCCTTATAGACAATGGGCAGCCACTCAGGAAACAAGAATTGAGCTACTAGCAGCAGAAGCCCCTGCCTTTGATCTGTACTTGCAACCACAGTATTTATATGCCTGGTCTACTCCAGTTATTGATCAATGTTAATCCTGTTGCTGTTGATCAACAATGCTGTTGATTTATTGGGTAGGAATGCCATAATGCTAAAGTCACTGAACAAGTAATCCAAAATCCACATTAATGTTCTGGGGACAAGACTTCAAACTGCACCACTGTAGATAATGAAATGTGAATCTGATTTTTAAAAATGCTGGCCTAATGGTGACCATGTGACCACTTTTGATAGTTGCAAAGAAAAACCCATTTAGTTTATGAATGCCTTTTTGGAAAGGAAATCTTTTGTCCTTACATGGTTTGGCCAACATGTGACTCCAGACCTATAATTATATGGTTGATGTTTAAGTATCCTCTGAAATGTCCTAGCAAGTCACTCAGTTCAAGGGCAATTAGGGATAAGAATAAATGCTGGTTGAGCCAATGATGCCCACATCCCATAAGCTATTAGGAAGCATATCAGCAATAGTAATGCCATTGAACATTAAGTTTTTTAGGATACATATACCAAAACTTAGTTTCCTGTTATTTTCCCAAAAATCAGACAAATTGAACTGAAACTCAGAGTAGCCTAAAGCAACGCCCGTCAAATTTGTTCTTTTCTCATGTTAGATCTTTGTAAGGTAGGGACACTAATGTTAATGAAATTCGTTGTGCTCACCTTCAAGTTATAAACGTTTTCTATCCCGGACTGTGAGTCTGCCTGAATAGTTGCAGGAACAGCTGATCAAGAAACAAGTACAACAAGCAGCATAAAATTAGATGACGTTACTTTACATTCAAAATCAATGTAAATAAACTGTATTTTATTCACCACATAATTTAGTTCAAAAATATACTTTGACTTATCATTGAGCATTTCAGCATCTGCACCTTAATTTTTATGGCCAGTTTTCTTTAAGCCTTTTCTTTCTATGATCTGTTTCTATCTAGCATTATGTAGAGAGTGGAGAAAGGCAATTCAGCGCTAGACTTGAGCAAATGATAGCTCCGAAAGCAGACTGTCTGTCAGTGGGGCCAATTCCAATAAAATTGAAAAAAAATCTTGTAACCAGGTTATGGGGCAACACAGAAGGAGATCATTTGGCTTCTAAACTCAACATCAGCGCTTTCAAACAGAAATCCATTTAGTCCCAGCATTGCACATGGGGAGGCAACGGTACTGTTTCCTAGACTGTTAATTCAGAAATTCTGCTAATGCTCTGCCTGCCCAGGTTCAAATCTTGCCCTGGCAGACTGTAGAATTTGAATCCAATAAAAAACCTGGAATTAGGAGTCAAATGACCATGAATTGATAAAAACCGAAAGAAGTGTGGATGCTGTAAATCAGGAACAAAAGCAAAGTTGCTGGAAAAGCCTGGCAGGTCTGGCAGCAACTGTGAAGGAAAGAACAGAGTTCTGAGTTCTGAGGAAGGGTCACTGGACCTGAAATGTTAGATCAGTTTTTTTTCCTTCACTGATGCTGCTAGACCTGCTGAGCTTTTCCAGCAACTTTGTTTTTGTTGTTGTTAACCATGAATTGATTATTGGGAAAGCCCTTCTGGTTCACTAATGTCCTTTAGGGAAGGAAACTGCCATCTTTATGTCTGGTCTCCAGACCCACAGCAATGTAGGTGACTCTCAACTGCCCACTGGGGCAATTAGGGATGGGCAATAAATGTTGGCCCAGCCAGCATGCCCACATCAATGAATTTAACAAAAAAGCTTCTTGTCCCATGTCCCTGCAATTTTTCTTCCTATTAGTTTTAATACAACTTTCCTCTACAGTGGAGTGTGCATACATCACCCTATCAGGCTGTGAATTCCAAATCCTAACCAATGGTTGCGTTAAAAAAAAGTTTTGTCCTTACATGAACATAGTCTGTCCTCTGCTGATTACAAAGATAAAATTCCCACAGTCCAACTTTCTCATTGCACAGAGAGAGAGAGAGGGGGAGATGACAAGTGATGGTCTAACCTAAGGGTCACCATACCTCAGTTGAGGGGAGAATGAAGAAGGAGATTCTTTCATGGTGACTCAACCAATGTGGGATCTGAACCCGCATTGTTGGCATCACCCAATATTGCAAACCAGCCAACCGATTCGAGCTAACCCATTTCATCCATTGGAAATGGTCTCACTGGGCTGAATTTTCCCAACCACTGACTGATGTGGGCAATGATATGTTGCTTGGGAAAGAACAAAAAAGTAACTTTTCAGGTGCCAAGGTAAACAGTCCAGTTTTCCACTTGAGATTTGAACAGCAAGATGAGGAGTGAGAGGACTGTTTGCACCCATTAACATCTCACTATTACTTACCCTGACCTCATCCATATGCATTTTAATGTTCCATCACACAGCAGACAGAAACAAGATGGTGACAGCTCTCGACATGTAAGGCACAGCAGGTACCTGGTGGCTCTGCTTTAAAGCTGAACTTTGGAGTGTACTGAAGAAGATTATCTCAGAGTTCTGCTAGACCTTGATCAAGTGGGCCAATGGTCAGAAGAGTGGCAGATGGAGTTTAATGTGAGGTGTTGCATTTGGTAATGCAAACCAGGGCAGGACTTATACAGCTAATGGTAGAGCCCTGGGGCATGTTGCCAAACTAAGAGACCTAGGGGTGCAGGTGCATAGTCCCTTGAAAGTGGAATTGCAGATAGACATGATGGTGAAAAAGGCATTCGCTTTGCTTGCCTTCATTGGTCAGTGCACTGAATATAGGAGTTGGGAGGTCATGTTGCAGCTGTACAGGACATTGGTGATGCCACTTGCTATAGGAAGGATGTTGTGAAACTTGAAAAGGTTCAGAAAATATTTACAAGGATGTTGCTGGGATAGGAAGGTTTGAACTATAGAAAGAGGCTGAATAGGCTGGGGCTTTTATCCCTGGAGCATCAGAGGTTGAGTGGTGACCTTATAGAGGTTTCTAAAATCATGAGGGGGCATGGATAGAGTGAATAGCCAAGGTTTTTTCCCCATGATAGGGGATTCCAAAACTAGATGGCATAAGTTTAAGGTGAAAGGGAAAAGATTTAAAAGGGGTGTGAGGGGTAACATTTTCATGCAGAGTGTGGTGCATGTATGGAATGAGTTGCCAGAGGACATAGCAGAGGCTGGCACAATTGCAACATTTAAAAGGCATCTCGAAGAGGTACATGAAAAGAAGGATTTAGAGGGATATGGGCCAAATGCTGGCAAATTGGGATTAGGTTAATTTAAGATATTTGGTCGGCATGGACGAGTTGCACTGAAGGCTCTGTTTCCGTACTGTTCTTGTGTATTAGTCCATGGTCGTCGAAGTGGATTTTAACTTCTCTCTCAAATACTGTTTCTACAAGCCTCCCCACACTGGCACTAAACTGACTAGCCTGTAATTTCTAGATTTATTGTTCTCCACTTTCTTGAATTTTGATCGTCTCCTTTCCTGATCTTCCAATGCTTTGACACCAGCCCTTTATCTACAGAGAATCAGAAGCTTTTGGCCAGAATTCTGAAATTTCTGTTCTGCCTTCCTTTAGTAAGCTTGAATGAATCCTATCCAGACTTACCTATTTCATACTGTCTGCCTCTCTCATACCTCCTCTTATTTTTATCGCCATAATTTAGGTATGCTCCTTGTTTACCATAACTTAGATAAACGTCAATACAAATTACTCATGTCAAATTTCAATCATGCTTGCTACCTCCAGCAGTACATCTCCATGTTAGTTTCTAAATGGCTCCATCACTCCCTTGACTGGTAATTTGCCTTTGAACTGCCTTTACTTTCTCTTTTGCAGCAGTATAAATTGATACAGCAGAAAAAGAGGCCATTCAACCCATTATGAATTGCTGTCGTTCAAAGACCTCCAATTATTCCCATTGCCCTGTTCTTTCCCTGCTGAGAATTCTCAGTAAGTCTCTTTTGACAGCTGTTATTCAACCTACATCATTCAACCTGCCTGCCACCTTTTCATGCCATGCATTCTGTATAAATCAAACCATAAAACAAATTCTCATGCTCTGATAGTCGCCTGGTTATTAACGTTCTTCCAATGGAAACAGCTTCACCCTATCTAGAGTCATAGAGCCATAGAGATGTACAGCACAGATACAGACCATTCTGTCCAACTCGTCCACGCCAACCAGATATCCTGAATAGATCTAGTCCCATTTGCCAGTATTTGGCCCATATCCCTCAAAGCCCTTCCTATTCATATATCCATCCAGATGCCTTTAAATGCCTCCACCACTTCTTCTGGCAGCTCATTCAAACATGCACCACCCTCTGCGTGAAAATGTTGCCCCTTATGTCCCTTTTAAATATTTCTCCTCCCACCTTAAACCTAGGTGCTCTAGTTTTGGACTCCCCCAGTCCAGGGAAAACACCTTGTCTATTTAACCTATTCATGCCTTTCATGATTTTATAAACCTCAGCCTCGGGCGCTCCAGGGAAAATAGCCCCAGTCTGTTCAGCCTCTCCCGATAGCTCAAACCTTCCAACCCTGGCGTCATCCTTGTAAATCTTTTCTGAACCCTTTCAAGTTTCACAACATCCTTCATATAGCTTTACTCTATCAAAACCTCTCATGCTTGTCAATATCTGTACTAAGTCCTTTTTAACCTCTGCTCTTCAGAGAACATGCTTACCCTTCTCTATCTTCCCACTGCACCGCAGCAACTCACCAAGGTTCCTTCGATAGCACCTTTCACACACATGACTACTTCCATCTAGAAGGACAAGGGCAGCAGACACATGGGAATCTCAAACACCTATAAGTTTCCCTCCAAGGCACTCACTGTCCTGACGTGGACCTGAATTACCATTCCTAAACTGATACTAGATCAAGAAAATATAACTGCCTTCAGAACTTGACTGCAGGTCACCCCAATACTGTAGCAGTTCAAGAAGCCAGCTCCCCATCACATTCTCAAGGGCATTTAAGGATAGGCCATAAATGCTAGCCCAGTCAATCAAGCCCACATCTCACGAATAAGTAATAAATAAAGAGTTAGCCTAATTTCCTTGCTTTTTCCTTTTATATTGCACCATTTTTCTTTTGTGTTATTATTGCCTATTTTCCAACTTGTTGATCCTTTGCCTATTTCCTAATTTGTTGATCCTTTGCCTGCTTAACATTTACTAAATGAAAAGCTGTATTTTCCCCATCGTTAAGCTCCTTCTGCTGGATACAAGAGGATCATTTTTTAAATACTCTTTCACTCTGTTTCCAGTGTCAACCCATCCTGAGTGAAGAGGCGACACCCATCTTTTGCCTTGCAAATTTTTAAAAGTGATTTGGGTGTCAGTACAAATTCATCTCAAAACATTTATCTAAATTAAAGTTTGCTGAGAAGACTGAATTAGGGGCCATGCAAAGTCTCTGAGACAAGTTTGCTCAATGATGTAAACAGATTTGTTAATACAGAGAGATGTGTATTTCATCACCTACCAGAAGGGGAGATGAAATCATCCACATTTTCAGAAGACATTCCGAAATTTTCCAGCCCAGAGCTTTTCTGATCACCTACAGTCTTCTCAAGAGCTTTCCTCTTTGATATTTTTCTAAGAGTGACAAAAAGAGTAGCAGGATCAAAATGGAGTTCATACAAATGTAAAATCTGATCTAGAAAATTATACATAGGTTGTTGAATGGCTGAGAGTGAGTAACAGGACTGTTTATTTCTCAATAGTGCGAGGGGTCAAATAAACTCTGATCAAAATGAGAATGACCAAGTGCATTTAAGCACAGGCGGAAGAATTTTTACAAAACACTAGAAGCAGGAATAAAACAGGGCCCATCCCACTATTTGTGCAATTAATTCATTGCACAGTTATATTAGGGATATGGGATTAACATCAGCTGCATACGTGATGATGATACATTAATCATGTCTAAGTCAATAGAGTTAGAATGGAGCAGAAGATCTGGGTTTGTTATTTATACAGATCGAGCTACAAACAAATAGTTCTTGCAGGAAGTACTTTGGATTCAAGCAGTAGACTTTTGAATGACTAAACAGTGCAAAACAGAATCCAAATTCAGGACAAAGCAGTGACTTTGGAATTCAAAGCATAGAGGTGAGGTCAACTGACCTGGTGAATGAACAAAGGGGCCTGCGCCTGTATAACCTGATAATCCTTCAGCCCCTTAATTAACAAGAATCTATCTGCTTCTGCCTTAAAAAGCATGCATTAGACTCTGCTTTCACCTTTCTTAGAAAGAGAACTCCAATGACTAATGATCGTCTGAGAGAAAAATAGTTGCTTCATCTCTAAATAGGCGATGCTTAATTTGTGAACTATCCATGGCCCCTTGTTTTAGTCTTCCCAGAATTGGTGACATTTTTCTATGCTGATTTTAACAGAAATGGGTGGGAATGTGAGTGGCTAAAGATGACACAAAGAGTCTGCTGAGGGATATAGGCAGTGAGTAGACAAAAACTTGGCAGATGCTGGAAAATGTGAGATTATCACATTTGGCATGAAGAATAGAGGCGGTGTATTTAGCAGGAAGTATTGAAAGCAAATGGAACACTGGCCTTTATCTCGAAGAGAATAGGTTATAAAAATTAGGTGGTCTTGCTAAAACCATATAAGGCACCAATCAGACAGCAGCTGGAATACTGCGAACAAAATTTTGGTTCCCTTATCTATGGAAAGATATACTGGCATTGGTGGCTGTGCAGGAAGGGTTCACTAGGCTGAGTACAGATATGCAGGGTCTAGACCCGAAGCGTCAGCTTTCCTGCTCCTCGGATGCTGCTTGGCCTGCTGTGTTCATCCAGCTCTACACCCTGTTTTCACAGATATGCAGTGATTGTCTTCTGGAGAGAGGCTGAGTAGGTTAGACCTGTACTCACTGGAGTTTGGAGAATGAGAGGCATCCTCATTAAAGTATAAAAGATTCTCAGGGGACTTGACAGTGTAGGTGTGGAAAGGTTGTTTCCCTTTGTGGGAGAGTCTTGCAACCAGAGGGCATAATCTTAGAGTTAGAGGTTACACATTTAAGACAGAAATGAGAAGGAATTGATGGGAATTCTTTACAATAATGGGTTATAACGGCTGGGTCATTAAGTTTATTCAAGGCTGAGGTAGGCAGATTTTTAATCAGCAACGGTTATCTATCGCCAGCTTGGCTATGACTGCCCTAACTCGGCACCAAATCTGGTCTGCACCATTCAGTATAACACTGGGCAATCTGGAATATGACACATTTTCCTTTTGAAACAATTACACAACATTGTAAAAGATCCTATCTGTGATGTTTACCTTATTTCATCGTGATAACTTGATTCTAGGAGGAAAAGAAAAATACAGCTGTAATTTTAAAATTGTCAATTATTTAATTAAAAGTACTTTGAAGATAACAAGATAATTTCTCAGGTGGCTCTTGCTATTTTCTCAAGTGGAATGTTCTTTCTAATCCAAGTTGATATCTTTGCTGGGTCTTTGTGCATGTATATCTTTGTGTGTTAAGCTGGAGGAGCAGGAATTTATTTTGTGTCACACATAGGTGAAAAGCCAAAGCAGACAGTTCAAATGATGATTAAAGCTGAATGGATGTGGTAAATCATAACCTCACGATTAGAAGATTGCAGATTTGGGTTGTAATAATCTCTAATAGCCACTGAACTAAAGAAGGTAGTAAGGAGTTTCACTGCTTTAAAGGCAATATGCTGGCATTGGAGATAATGTAATTAATTTGAAGGGCCAAAGTAATGACTTCAAATAAATCTCTGAGGACATGCAGTGGACTGAACGCACTGCAGTGATTTTAGTTCAATTAATTTTGGTCCAACTTAGGTGACCAACTGATTACTGATTAGTTTTCTTTGGCACACTTTGGCCCACAGTATAGTACTTGATTATTGATGAGAAAAGAGACAGTCTTACAGTCATCAGAACTGAATTGCAAGAATACCAAATCTTAAATGGAATAACAATTCTTGCACTTCTGTCCTGATGGAGTGTAAAATGAAAAGCTTTGACTGCATGACACTTTTTCAACAGTAGTCTATATTTAACTCCTTTACATGGATGGCATGAACACATGGGGAATTCCTGAAAAGTAATGAATAGCATTTGCAAATGCAAGAAGTAAACTTTCTGGTTGTTTGTAGAGGTACCATTTGAGGGCTATTTTTCAAATGGTTCTCAGCGGCCTACTCAAGATCATTGCATTCCTACGTCCCTTTCCTGTCTCCCTTTAAACTGCAGAATTTAGTTTCTTTATTGTAAAGCTTTTAGTGCAGCCTTTCTATTTAAGATAAATTAAACATCAAAAGGCTTGAGAGCAAAGAAAAAATCAGATATAGTCACTGAAGTCAGGATTACCTGCAATACATTAAATTCTGCAACAATCAGATGATGAATTTTATGGACAAGAATGTCCTAACTTCAATAAATATTATGATTATACAACATCAAACCAGTATCCATTCTTACCTTGTATAGATCATAGAATTCCTACAGTGTGGAAACAGGCCCGTCGGCCAAACAATTCCACACCAACCCTCAGAGCATCCCACCCAGATCCATCCCCCTATAACCCATCTAATCTACACATCCCTGAACACTACAGGCAATTTAGCATGGCCCATCCACCTAGCCTGCACATCTTTGGACTGCAGGAGGAAACTGGAGCACCCGGAGGAAACGCATGCAGACACAGGGAGAATGTGCAAACTCCACACAGTTGCCTGAAGGTGGAATCGAACCCAAGTCCCTGGTGCTCTGAGGCAACAGTGCTAACCACTGTGCCACCATGCTGCCCAAAAATTGGATTCAAATCCCATTATTTGCCGTGGTGGGATTCAAGCCCAGGTCCCCCATATATTACCTGGGTCTTGAGATTAACAGTCCAGCGATAATACCACCAGGCCATCACCTCCTCCTTGTGCATTACAAATTTAATGCAATATGTGGCAACCAAAGAACAAGCACAATAAAAAAATTGCAAGCATATATAATATATATCACCACTTAAAGGATATATGTAAAAAAGGCACTGACCGGAGTGTTTGTTCCATTTTATGCAGAAAGCAATCACAACGATGAGTATTATAAGCAGGAGAACCACAGCGATAGGCACCACAATAGCAACAATTAACCAGGTCCGATCTTGACTGACTGTAGAGTCAAACACTTCAAGGAATTATTTAGTAGCTGATAACCTGAGCACGCAATCATTCTTGATAATATACATTACATGGACTAATGATAGACAAGTGACAAGGAGCTACAAGGTTTGAACTCAAGGTCATGTCTTAAAGCACCAGAATGAAGTTGACATTAAGATCAAATTCTCTCTCTATCTCACCTGATATGTAAATCATTTTTTGGTCTTTTTCTGATATAATTGTCACAAAACGTTACATTTATGACACTAGTCTCTCAGAACAATGTTGTGCAATACTTTTGTGGCGTTGGGGTAGTCATAATTTAAAGAGTTTCGCAAGACCCTAACAAACATCAATGTATGAGCTCCATTTGTACTACTCTCATCTCTGAGTTCAAACGTCTTGTAGGTTCAAGCAAAAACCATACTGGTACTTCAGTACAGTTTTGCAGGATGCTGAGCCGTCACAGATACTGTCCATAACTTAAGATATTAAAACAAGGTCCAATCTGCTTTCTCAGATGGATATTGAAGATCCCACAACAATGTACTCCATTGACCTAGCTAATATTTACTCCTCAACCAACAGCATAAACACAAATCAATTCGTCATGACCACATTACTGTTCACGCAGCTAACTGTGTACAAATTAGTTGCCATATTTTCTACATTGCAACAGTGACTACACCTCACAAAAGTGTTTAGCTGTGAGGTGATTTGAGATGTCTTATGGTTGTGAAAGCTGCTTTAGCACAGTAAAAAGGAGCAGGAGCAGGCCATTGGCCCTTCAAGCTTGTTCCGCCATTCAAAATGATCATGGCTGATCATCCAACTCAGTTCCTGTACTTTTCCCCTTTGATCATTTTATATTTTATATTCTATTATATTTTACATTTTATATTCAATATTCTGGTCTCAACTCCTTTCCGTGGCAGAGAATTCACTAGACCCACCTCTCTCTGACTGAAGAAATTCCAATTTATCTCTAGCCTGAATTGCCTACCTGTATCTATAAACTATGATTCTTGGTTCCGGACTCCCTGGTTGTTGGGAACATGCTTCCTGTGTTTATCTTGTTTTGTCCTGTTAGAATCTTATAGGTGTTAATGAGATCCACATCCCCCCCACCCCTGATTCTTCTAAATCCTAGTGAATATAGTCCCAAACACTCCAGTCTCTCTTTATATGTCAGTCCTGCTATCCCAGGGATCAGTCACAGTACTCCAGGAGTGGTCTCACTAAGGCCCAGCACAATTGCAGCAAGATATCCCTGCCCCTGAACTCGAAAACCTGCCTAGTGACTCCCATTGAGAGAATCCACATATATACTCGGCTTAATTCAAATTATGACAGATCAGTAACTCACTGTAAAAGTATAAAGCGTTGTATTTACCTGGTTTCACAGTGATGTAAAGTGAAGCATTCTTAGGCTGAGGAAGTGCTTTTATGGCAGCCAGACATGTAACTTCAGCCTCTGCACTAAGGGTGAGATTTAAGGTGCTGACAGCTGTATAGAGATGTCCTGAAGGTGGAGAAATGATGGTGGTGTAACTTTCTGAATGTACAGTTGTTTGGTTTATTGTCCAGGTGATAGTTGGCTCAGGATTCCATCCTTCTGCCTTACAGATGACGTCTGTGCTGTGGTTTGTCACCACAGATAAAATCTTGCTCTCAAAAAATAACGTTCCTTCAACTGTGGCATGATAACAGAGGCGGTTTAGTTTTATACAGAGTTTAACCAACATAAATTTTTCTAAACAATCTAGAATTTATATTCCCAAATTAGCTTAAGTGCTTTACTTATCTTTCAATATAATTCCCTTGCTATTGAAACTTTTTCCATTCCCTCGTTACACATAGAGCAGTGTACTTTCCATTTCTTCTTCATGGGATATGGCTATCACTCATAAAGCCAGCGTTTATTAACCATTCATAACTAAAAGGTGGCAAGTTTTGAATTTAAAACACTGATGATCTTTGGATACAACTGACATCTAAATGTTATCATTTCGGATGTTAGTTAAGTGTTAACCACATGGATGTCGGACTCGAGTAACATAAGGGCCCAGACAAGATGTCATTCCCTAAAGGCCTCTCCTGAACCAGTTGTGTTGTTAGAACAATTCAACAGCTTTGTGGACACTTTCGTTGATATCAGAATTCTGTCTCCTGACTTTCTGTCAAGTTATTAACCTGCCATGGTGACTTATGGGATCATATTGTCTGGATGGCTACTGGACGATTAGTCCATTAGTATAATCCCTACAAGATTTTACTTTGAACTAACATGCTGAGAGTCCGCTGCCCAAACTGCTCTGAAAACAGGTCTTCCCAAATAGGAGTGACAAACGAACACAAAACAAGAAACCAGAGTAGGCCACTCAGACCTTCCAGCTATTGAATAAGGTCATGAGCTGATCTAATTTTAAGCTTAACTTTACATTCCTATATATCCCTAATAATCTTTCACCCCTTGATAATCAAACATCTGTCTCATTGGTGTCATTAACCACAGAAGATCAAGGCTGTGGCCCTATTAAAGTGCCAGTGGATTAAGAATTCTTGAAGCAAAGTGTCTGTCCTAATTTAGGCCTGCTGCTGATTTATTCTGTTCTATCAATGGCATCGCTGCAGTGCAGTGAGGTAATAGGGTCAATGGAGATTTGCTGTTGACAGAAAATGTCAATACAGCTCACAGGACAAAAGGTTACTCTTTTAAAACAGGAGTATTTAAAAAATGTCAAGTTAGGATACCAAATAAACATCTTCTCAGATGAATGAAACAAAGTAAAAATACTTATAATTGATATCTCTTTATATCTTTAACCAAACCTTTGGCCAATTTATCCTGATATTTCCTTATGTGGCTTGATGTTAAATTTTGATTGATGATACTCTCGGGTGACCATGAAACTGGTTCATTAATGTCCTTTAGGGAAGTGTCATGTGCTGTTTTATTATGCTGTTGTTAATTCCACAGTGAAATAGAATTAGGTGCCCCCTTGGGTAATGGGGGTTGAGAATGTAGGAGGGTGTGGGAAGGAAAATTATTCAAAATTGACATAAACAGGGTGGAAATGTTCCGCATGCACCTGAAGTGTGTGAAGGACTATATCATAAAAGCAAAGACTACTATAAAAGAGGAGAATCAAACAGGAAAGGAGGCTCCCTTTACTTCTGTCATTGTAGAGTACGATAGCTAGAGTGGTGCATTTTGTTTGATGGTTCAGGTAATCTTCAGACTCCTCTGTCCCAATTCCCACACTTTTCATTTGCTCCACACCTTGAAGACTTCATTAGACAGGTCGTAGAATACAAGTGCAAGGAAGTCTTGTTACAACTTTATAAAACATTGGTTCGACCATAGATGGAATACGATGTGTAGTTCTGGTCGCCACACTATCGGAAGGATGTGATTGCATTAGAGAGGGTCAGAGGAGATTCACCAGGATGTTGAAAAGTCTCAGCTATGAGAGAGACAGGATAGGCTAGGTTTGTTTTCCCTAGAGCAGAGGAGGCTGAGGGGGGAATCTGATTGAGGTATACAATGTTATGAGTGGCATTGACAGAGTTGATCATGAGAACCTCTTCCCTTTGGCCGACGTATCTAACACCAGAGGGCATAAGTTTAAGATGAGAAGCAAATGATTTGGAGGGGATCTGGGAAAATATTTTTCACCCAGAGGGTGGTAGAAATATGAAACATGCTGCCTGAGAGGGTAGTGGAGGCAGGTGCTCTCACAACATTCAAGCTGCATTTGGACAAGTAATTAAAATGCCAGGGCATAGTCGGCTATGGACCAAGTGCAGATAAATGTGATTGGTGTAGTTTGGTGCATTTTGGTTGGCTTAGACATTAGGGGCTGAAGAGTTTGTTTCTATGCTGTATGACTCTATGTCTATCACTTTGATCTTATTGGATGCTATCAACTGAAAGAAATTATTGGGAAATGCATCCGTTAAGGACACTACACACTTGTGATTTGCCACTGTCATGTGACCTCTGTTGGAAGTGCTACCCATTCAGAGAGAGAAGTCAAGAAACCTACACATGAGACACAGAATCACATATGTGAGCTCTGTAATGGCCATATCAAAATGGGGCCAGACTTATGAACCCGGACCCAGTGTTAATGTTCCATCCTCCCCTTGATCCTTTTGGACACAACTATCCTCGGTTTCCATCCAACAGCTCCGTTATTTGGTGTAACGTAAGTTCCCGGCTAAAGTAAGAGTGGGCAGAGGACGATAAAGTAAAAAGGATCAAAGTTGTCTTTGAAATTATTAAATAAAAGCAGAAAATGCCAGCAATATTCGGCAGGTCTGCTAGCATCTGTGAAAAGAGAATGAGCAGGCTCGTTCAACGACTGGTTCCTTTTTAAATTGGTCAGCCTCACCCCCAGTGCTCCCTAATCACTGGCCCTGGCATTATAACTCCCAACCACTTTGCCGGGTCTCTCTCCCTTCTTGCCTCAAGGTCCAGCACATAGGATTGCAGCATTGCTGTATTCCCAGCAGTGGCCAGGACTACAGAGCCAATCAGATTAGCCAGCCATTCTCTGAGATGGTCACGAGTGAGGGGGAAAGTGTTAAGTGATTGCATGATTGTTTCCCTTTAACTTCTTGGACTAACAGAAAGGGACCCACCATCCCTTATCTTGTTCCCCTAGAAAAAGAGATGTTATCAGGTTTTCAACAGATTCAAAGGCAGGCAAAGAAGGAGGAGTAAAAAGGGAAGTTCTGTGATAGTGTGAAAGGCAACAGTAATAAAATTATATTAGCGATGATGGCGCAATGTAACTTTTGTGTAAGTGCTTCAAGACCCTGGAGCAACCTTTGAATGATATCACAGAGTTGCAACTTCACTGAGTGCAAATAGCACATTCTAGAACATTCTGGATGACTCACATAAGAGGATGGACGTGAATGCGCAAAGATGATAGACTAGTCTTTACCCAATGCAGGTCTAAGTCAGAGCCTGGAATATCTATGACTACGATGTACAATAGTATTTCATAGTAATGTTTAAGAACTGGGTTACTTTGAAGTCTGAGCCTGAAGTCAGTTCTTAACTTTGCTTTCTCCTCAACCAGTGTGTCTCGAACCACATTATAAAAGAATAGCATGAAGTGATAATCTCACAATCCGAGAGCAGTGAAGGGGGCCATTCAGCCCATCATACCTATGCAATTCCTGAAAAGAGCTAACCATTAAAATAAAGGATAGAGCCTTGCCCCCAAACCCTGCACAATGTTTGCTTTTCATGTCTATATCCATTCTCTTTCAGAAGTTAACATTGAATCGACTCACCCCCCTATTCTTGCTGGGTTTCAAATCACAAAAACAAACAGTGTCAAAAGTAAATCATGTAATTAGCATTTTGTCAATCATATTTAATTTGTTGCCTCAATGATCATCCATCATCTTGAATCTCTCCATCAAATCTCCTTTCAACCTTCTCTGCTCTATGGGGAACAATCCCAGCTTCCCTATTCTCTCCACATAACAGAAGATCTTCATTTTTAATGGCAGCATTGTACTGACCTTGCACAAACAAATTTGCCTGTTGACTCCCATCAGTCTGGAGACTGCACTCCACGGTTGCGTTGTTTTTCAATGTCACTGCTGAGATGATAAGTTCTGAAGTAAATGTTTGCGCAGTCGTGTAATTGCGCTGTCCAAACTGAGGGCTCGTGATTATTGGTCGTTCTGGTGTTACAGTAAGGACAGGTGTCTTATTCATTATCCAGATAATAATAGTCCAAGGTAAGGATACTGTGCAGTTGAATGCAGCATCAGAGTTAACCAAAACGTAGGCATCTTTTGGACCATCTTCGATTTTAGTAGGCAAACACACCCCTAAAAGGGAAATAGGTTTACATTAGATAAAAATAACCTACAGCACAGCAACAAACTGTGCCTTCAAGAAAAGAGCAATTAGCAACATGAAGCCTCTTTGCTTTCAAGTGTTACACATTAGTATTTTTAAAATATATATTTTGTATCAAACAGCCCAATAATTTTATTATACATCTTTGGAGTAGGTAGGACTTGAGCCCTGGCTTATCTGTCTCAGAGGTAGGGACCCTACCACTGCACTACACAAGCCCTAGCCCTGGCATTAATTTTTTTTTTTATATCACCTTGTTTTTCCTAATCAACTTGTTCAGGGATGTTTTACATATTTCTGGAGTAGATGGGATTTGAACCCAGGTCTCCTGACCCAGTGGTAGGAATACTATCACTGCACCACAAGAGGGCCTCCAGTCTTGACATTAATGCTAGACTCATGAATTTGCAATACCTGGATTCAGAATGATAAAGACTATAAATGGGATGGAGCCTAAGCAGGAGTCTGCTGTGTGCCTCCCATGATGCAGCATGGTCTAGGATCACTGAGAAAGTTGTTTTTAAAACAAAACTGTCTCACAGTGAATTAGAAATACGGCTGTGGACAATTTTCATGGGGCGCAGTGAAGTCAAGAAACTAATTTTTAAGACTTCAATGCCTACATCGCTTGAATGAAACCCAACAATTTTTGTGGTTAAGAATCATACTCTTCCTCTATCCTTAGGTCTGCAACACCATCAGGTAAGAATGGTCTGATATCATAAATCTATAATCTCTAGGTATTACATTGAGGTAATCAAAGTTTATTTCATGCAGCACCCTTACAGCCAATACTTATAATCTGTCATCCCAGCGATCTAGACAGGTGAGAGGAGAAAGAGGAGTGGTTAGAGGTGAAAGGTTAATGAGAAAACTATTGTGAGTAACTCAGTTCTCAGGGAGAGGGGTGGGTGGTGGGATGTATATGGATGTTCTGCTCATTGGTAATCCCACAATGGATTTCTGTTTGATAGAGCTTTCCTACTAGTAATAGCCATACATCTAGCGCCTGCTAATTATTTTAGGTGGCTCTGCATCTAAAGTCTGCTTGAATGCATCTGGAGGCAGTACCATGAAATCTTTACAGCTTAGCATCTCCGTGAAAGTGTTGACATATGATGTTAGGGAGTCAGTTGGACCTCAGGAACGGAATTTTCCCTTTTGCAGATAAAGTTTGTGAGTGAGTTTCACGGCACCTGGTCCTACCTTGGCCTAAAAAAAGTTTTCTGCTCTTCACCTCATTATTTATGCAACTGGGCTATTGCCTGCTCTTCATGGGGTATCACCTGGTGTGCAAGACAGAAGCACTCCCCCCTGGTGTGGTCTTCTGGTGTACAAGCCTTTGTGTGTGTTGTCTCACAGTCAGTATGTCAGTAAAGGACATCCTCGTGATATGATCACTGTCATAGTATGGGATGTGAGGAACTGTCAGAAAAGCTCATTGAGTTCATCAGCATTGCTGCCCCGTTTAAATCCAGTAGGAAGGATCTTATGGGCTAGGAGAAAGACCAAACTTTTTTTATTCATTTGTGGGATGTGGGCGTCGCTGGCTGGCCAGCATTTCTTGCCCATCCCTAGTTGCCCTTGAGAAGGAGGTGGTGAGCTGCGTTTTTAAACTGCTGCAGTCCTCCTGCTGTGGGTTGACCCACAATGCTAATAGGGAGGGAATTCCAGGATTTTGACCCAGCAACAGTGAAGGAGCAGCGATACATTTCCAAGTCAGGAGGTGAGTGACTTGGAGGGGAACTTAGAGGTGGTGGCGTTCCCATATATCTGCTGCCCTTGTCCTTCTAGATGGAAGTGGTTGTGGGTTTGGAAGGTGCTGTCTGAGGATCTTTGGTGAATTTCTGCAGTGCATCTTGTAGATAGTACACACTGCTGCTACTGAGCGTCGGTAGTGGAGGGAGTGGATGCTTGTAGATGTAGTGCCAATCAAGCGGGCTGCTTTGTCCTGGATGGTGTCAAGCTTCTTGAGTGTTGTTGGGGCTGCACTCATTCAGGCAAGTGGGGAGTATTCCATCACACTCCTGACTTGTACCTTGTAGATGGCAGACAGGCTTTGAGGAGTCAGGAAGTGAGTTACTCACCACAGTATTCCCAACTTCTGGCCTGCTCTTGTAGCCACTGTGTTAATGTGGTGAGTCCAGTTGAGTTTCTGGTCAATGGTAACACCCCAGGATGTTGATAGTGGGGGATTCAGTAATGGTAACCCCATTGAATGTCAAGGGACAGTGGTTAGATTGTCTCTTGTTGGTGATGGTCATTGCCTGGCATTTGTGTGGCGTGAATGTCACTTGCCACTTGTCAGCCCATTACTTGACTCATTACTTGAGGATGGACACAAATAGGAAGCTATAGTGGCAGGCTAACAGCAAGTACATGTTTTAGATGCAGCCAATCCTATTACTACAGACAGCAAAGTGCAATAACTCAACAAAATTTGTAATTGACGTGATTTATCACACACAGCCAAAACCTTCCAGCTTTTATTAATATCCATGAAGCACATGGCACCAAGTATTAGTTACAAAGGCCAAACCAGAACCCAGGACAAAACACAGGTGACTGACAAAATAAGATAATACCACAGCACTGGAAGCAAGGCAAATGTTAAGATGGTGTACAAAAGCATACACTTTCATGATATTCTGGGTCAACCATATGAAAGGTAAATTTCTGGAGATGATCAAGCTTTCTATATTGTTAACCTCACACACCAGGTTGATGGTACAAGGTAATCAGAAACTACTTACAACCATTCATATCATACGTTCCTAGAAGGCAGGACATCACAAATTGAAAACCAAAATCAACATGGGAGCTAGTGTTAACATATCACCATGACAAATCCTGAAAGACATGTACCTCATTAAGTGGCATTTCATGGTACAACCTGCAAATGATTGTGTCAGTGAATCACCAATTCCATAAATTGGCAGAATCAGGCTGCAGTGCCAATATACAAAGCTCAGCTTTGTAAGAGTTTTAAGAGTCATTATCCAGGGTTGGCCTGACAATACTGGAAAAGTTCCTGAGAACACTTGTTAATTTTGACCATGCAGGGATGAACTTGGTATATCATGACAAGTCATTTTCAAGGACAAACTGATCCTAAAACCAAAGCATTATGCCAAGATATCATAAGATGTTACACAAGAGATCCATGGGTATTGAATACACATGAATCTTTATGGGGGCCAGGGATAAGTCAGGATATTCAATGACTTGTAAAGTCTATCAAATTCAGCAGAGGAAGATGACTTTACATCTATACAATGTTCAATCCATTTCTTGTGATGGATTACTTCACTAAATTTCCCATTGTTTGATCATTTAGCAACACAACAAGCGCTAACATCACTGACACAATTTTTAAGTCTATTCAGTGCCAAATAGTGTTGATAACAGAGCACAAAACACTAGTCATTATGATGCTGCTTGGCCTGCTGTGTTCATCCAGCTCTACACCTTGTTACCTCAGATTTTCCAGCATCTGCAGAACCTACTATCTCTGATAGAAAACACTAGTAAACTGCTTTAAGATGTGTGCAAAATGGAGAGCAAATCATATCCTGAAGAGCCACTGTTGGCCCTATACCCTCCCCGCATAGAGGCATGACCCACATAAAGACAGACAGCTTGTAATTCAGTGCTAATATCAGCCTGCCTTCAGAAAGCAATGTGAGACAGGCTAAGGTTGGCAGTCTCCAAATAAGTGCAAAGTAAGTGGAACAAAGGAGTATGTGTTGATGTCAGTGCAAAAGCATCCTGTTAGTGAGATGTGTGTCTGTCTCTGCATGTAAAGCAATCTGGCAGAAATAAGTCAGAAGCCTCCCTGAGCCCTGAAATAAATTCAATAAACAAAGTAAAGTGTTGAGCCTGAGGGCAGGCATAACAACGTGGTGAAGCTGGTGGTTTGCCGATGACGACTTGTATGGACAAAGATTCACAGAACATCTACGTTTTTCCCTGTTTATTCCTTACTCCCTCCTCCCACCCTATTTTCTGCATATAAACTGACATTTTCCCAGCTACCATCAGTTCTGAGGAAGGATCACTGAACCCGGAACGTTAACTCAGATTTTTCTTCACAGATGCTGCCTGACCTGTTGAGCTTTTCCAGTAACTTCTGCTTCTGTTCCTGATTTACAGCATCTGCAGTTCTTTTGGTTTTTATTTGTTGACATTCACTACCTGGAGCCAATCCTGTAGAAGGACCAGTTGGGAGGGGCATGCGAAAGTTGCTTATGACCTTGCAACTATGACAAAAGAGCAAGTTTTCACTATTATTACACGCTATTGGAAAATGTTCATTATTGTATAGTTTACTTACCCAATAATATGCTAAATAATGTTATGATTGTTCCAACAGTTCTCATGATGTACAAGTAGTATCATCTCAAAAGTCGTGGACTGAAAAGAGAATATTCCAGATAATTGTAAAAAGAACATAATAATAAAACAAGAACACAAGAAATAGGTGCCAGAGCAAACCATATGGGCTATTGAGCCTAGACAATTCAATGCAATCATCTTGTGCATCAACTCCACTTTTCCACCCACTCATCATGTTCTTTGATTTCTTGAATAACAAAAATCTGCATCCCAGCCTTCAATGTATTCCATGTTGGAGACTTCACAACTCTCTGGGATGTAGAACTTCAAAGATTCCCATCCTTTTGAGTGAAGATATTTCTCCTTTTCTCATATTCAATTTCTGGTCACCAAATCTGAAAGATCTAACAACTCCTTGCTTGACTGCATCTGCAGGTAAGGAAATGAAAGAGAACTAGACTGTCCTACCCACGTAGGGCCAATTTTTAATTTAACAAGACAAATCAGTGGAGAACAAGTATTGAACACTACACACCAGAAAGTTCCACTGCATTCAAAACTGGACAGAGACAAGGAGGGAAGATTGATCAGGCTGTGCTATCTTAATATATAAATCAGGCACATAGGAATCCAACATGGCTAACAGCATACACACACTTAACACATCGAAGAAGAACACCAGAGGCATAGTGGATCAAAGCAAGATACTGAGGGTGCTGGAAACCTGAAATAAAAACAGAGTGTGTTGGAGAAACTCAGGAGTCAGGCAGCATGTATGGAGAGGAAGAGAAAGTCATTGTTTTGAGTCCAATATAATTCTTCTTCAGAACTCAATATAACTCTGATATTAGATTGATTTCCTTTGTATGTATCTAATAGATGAAGCAAAGCTTTGAATATTGTAGTACGAATAGAGTTCAATAGAATTATTGAAAATGTTCTCCCTCATGCTTCAGTCAGCTTGTGACAAACTCATTCAGTATATAGTATGTCACCAACATGGCAGCAACGATCCTGTAGCTGTGTTATTTAATTCTACATAAATTCCATATAGATTACACCATTGAATTTATAGACTCAATAGACACATCAATAATAAAAGTGTCAGAAATCAATGTGGCCAATTAGGCACCAAAAGACAGCCTTCCATATGGAAACAGAGGGCATAACCAAGATATTAAATCAGTCCTTTAATCTGCCTTCAGCAAGGGAGCAAACATGACCAAAGTCATTGTGAAAAAAGAAGTAGTTGAGATACTAGATGGGCTAAAAATTGATAAGCTGGAGCCGCACCCCCATCTCCTACCTACTAACCTCATCCCGCCCCCTTGACCTGTCTGTCCTCCCTGGACTGACCTATCTCCTCCCTACCTCCCCACCTACACTCACCTTTACTGGCTCCATCCCCGCCTCTTTGACCTGTCTGTCTCCTCTCCACTTTTCTTCTCCTCTATCCATCTTCTATCCGCCTCCCCCTCTCTCCGTATTTATTTCAGAACCCCCTTCCCCTCCCCCATTTCTGAAGAATGGTCTAGTCCCGAAACGTCAGCCTTCCTGCTCCTCTGATGCTGCTTGGCCTGCTGTGTTCATCCAGCTCGACACCTTGTTACCTCAGCTTTTAAGACAGTTGGCTGAACTTAAAGTTGATAAGTCACCAGGTCCAAGTTATACATGCCCTATACACCAAAGTCATTAATATATACAGTGGCAGAAAGTGTAGCCATCTAATACTGACGATTGCAACACTACCTCCTCTTTTGCAGTCCTCCTTGTCTCACCCAGAAAATTGACCTGCTGGTCCTGCCCCTCCCTCAACCATGTCTCTGTGATAGCAATGTTTTGTATCTTCATATGTTAATCAGCACCATCAATATATTTGCCTCACTTGCAAGACTCCCTGCATGATAATAAATGCACCTAACCTTACCATGCTCCCATGTGTCTTTACTCAACTGTATACACACTGCCTTCCAGATTAAGAGATAGTAGGAACTGCCGATGCTGGAGAATCTGAGATAACTAGGTGTAGAGCTGGATGAACACAGCAGGCCAAGCAGCTGTGCCAAGAGGAGCAGGAAAGCTGATGTGTCAGGCGTAGACCTTTCGTCTAGACCCGAAACGTCAGCTTTACTGCTCGCCTTCCAGATTAACTTGGTTTTACTTCTGTATTTGTCTGTGTATAACTCCTACAGTACCTCCACTCCATATCCCCCCCGACTAAACAAATTAGTTTAAAACCCTGCAAAATCCCCTTTTAGATATCTAGTTGGCCCTGCTCTTCTTTTTACCACTGTTTTACAATTTTGGAAGATGAGGTCAACCACCTCAGACTGTGAGATAGTAGGAACTGCAG